TAATAATAATAATAATAATAATAATAATACAGATCATTCCAGGAATATTTTTTTTTTAAAGAAGGAGAAAAAAGCTTTTTTTGTAGCTTCACAAGAAAATTGCCAAATCCTCAGGCACCAGACCTTTTTTTTTTTTTTTCCATTTAATTGTTACCAGGTGCACTTCACCTTTAAACAGATACTTGTTTTCAAACATTGAGCTGGGAGTTTGGATGATTGTCAAAATCAAAGACAAGGGAATACTGTAGGGGTCAAGTTTTGACCGTTGGGAGAACTGTAAGAAAATTCAAGTTTTCCCCGTTGGCATTTTATCATTTAGTTGTAGTATGATTGGAGTTGATGTAAAAAGTTGCGAGACAAATCCCTATTAAAACATCAAAATCAATGGCAATTTAGGACAAATTCCCCTAGTTTAACATACTCCATTAGAATTGGAGAGGACCAAATTGGGATGTTCCAGGTTTGCTGCCTTGAATGATGGCACTGAAGACTAACAGATTTAAAAGATTACAAATGAATTAATTTTTGTTTTGTTTATATATTTTGATTTTAAATAAATAATGACAGCATTTGGTTTAAATGAGTAATTCCATGGAAGAAATTGACTAGAAAAGATAAAGAAAACACCAAAGATTAGGATTACTCAAAAGAGGTGCTTCACATTGAACAGGAAAATTCATGACACCCTTAACTTTAAATAATTAAAGAAGTCACATCTTTTTCCAGGCTTATATGTTGTCATATGCTACTCCTGGTTGACTCAAGTTACTTTTGCACGGATAGTCACTTGGTAAAATGAGGTTGCTGCTTTAATGATTTGAAACTTAATATAACATCACATATATAGCTTAATATATATTTGGTGTTATCAAAATTGCAAGAAGCGCCAATGAAACTAAGAGCTTCTATGAGTGTGCATGTAAAATATTTTGCTTTCCTGAAATCAAAGCATCAAGATTTTGTCTTGGACAGTGAGATGAATAGCACATAAATGTAATAAATAAACAAAAAGATGGATTTTGGTTCAAAGATTATTTTATCTTTATCTTTTGATGATAATTAAAAAACAAGACATGGCTCACTTGTCTCTATAAATGGAAACTCAATAAGGTCTTAGAAGCATGCTTGCCTAATAGTTTTTGAAAAATACAAGCAATTTGCAAGTTAAAATATACAAATTTCATTCAACTGAACAGTAGCTTTCTTGAAATACTTTATAATGCAATTAATATGCTATAATCTATTTATTTCTAAATCAAAACCCAAGGAAGAATGCAAAATGCAGTATCTACCCTGAATAATGTTGAAGGTTTCATATGTAGGGCATCAT